GGAGGACAGATTGAGCTCATGATTGCCCAAGCCGCGGTACAGCCGCTTCCGTTCGCGCTTGGCTTCTGCCACTGCACTGGTCGTCGGGCGGGGATCGTCGCTGGCTTCCGACGAGACCTGCCTAGCTACCGACGCCGGCGACGAGGACGAGGAGGACAGATTGCGCTCATGATTGTCCAAGCCGCGGTACAGCCGCTTCCGTTCGCGCTTGGGTTCCATCGGTTCCTTGTGTTTCTTACGCCAAATTACGAAAGCTTAGAGATAGAAAAATATAAAAGAAGTAAGCTAATCCTGTGATCGAATTTATGTTTAAAGTGCAATTTTACCTCGATCAATATTCTTGCGCGGCTCGCGTCCGCACAGATCTGGTTTGAACACGTAAAAGAATGGGCGTAAAAGGTGTAGGTACTGTTCGAAAATATATTGCTGTTCATATATCGATATATCGATACATACAAATATCGCTGGGCGATTCTAAAGTGCATTAAAATGTAAAATATTCAACAATATGGCTCAACCACCGAATCTCACGGCCCGAGAAGTGCAGCAGGTATTTGCAGAGATTCTCAGCCATGGCGAGGACATCGCCTGGGATCTGTGAGTGCCCGCCCAAAAATCCTTTGTCCCTCACTTGAAATCTATAGATGGCCAATCCCTGACCTGACTGATTGCTGCAGAATCAACGAGACATTCTGAAAAGGAAAGTTCGATAAATATTTAATCTTAATTAATTAATTAATTTAATTTTATTTATGTCTCATAAATAATTCTGGACAACGTTTTGACTCTACGTAAGCAGACTCCGCGAAACAGCAGCTCCGTCACTAATCCAGACGTACATACATAACTTTAGGTAAATGCGCCAACGGCCAGTCCCTTTCTGCGTTGTTCTTTGCGGTTATTGTGAATGGAGTGACCGACTTGAAGGAGGCTGAGAATAGCAGATCCTGGTCGATCCACCCAGTTTTCCGCTGCCGTCGCTGCGATGGTAATGTCGTACATTAAAGTAGTTTCAAATTGATCCAATTGCATATGCCTATCACTATACTACTTTCAGCCGACACGGATGGAGAGCTGAGCAGCAGCCCAGACTGTTGCGGTATGTATGTGGATCAAATCGGGCTCTTTGAGGACTGCGATGCATACTTAAAGCGCACAGCTCTTCCCCCAGGGGTTATGGTAACCTGTGATCGAGGCGTCTACAAGCTGATCGATGGGCAGGTTGAGCTTTAAACTTATTTGATAACGGAGAAAATGTACACACGCAATGCGTGCTTCATAACGTCTGAAGGTCTGAAGGCAGCCTTGGAATTTCCTGGAGTGCATCGGCTTTACTCGGAATCAAGCTCTAGATATATATTGCAAGTAACATGCAATGCAATTCTACTACACATATAAGAGCGAGCGACAAAGTGCTATACCTGCTTTTGTATGATACTTTTAATCTCTGGTATATGTATGCGAAACGTTCTATTTGTGCTCACTCAAAGGCGTGTTGATGGGGGGAAGGTCGATACTCTAAGTGCATGGCTGCTCTCCGAGTCGTTGGTTCTGTTTACGCACAGCGTCAATAACTTTCGCCTGGCGTCTGAAATGGTCAACAAAGCCACTTATCGCACAAGCCTAAGCAGCTACGTACAGTAAGGTACTATCCATGAAGACCTGCCAGACTAATGACTTTGTTTTTGCAGGAACACCTTTAAAAAGATCTTCAAGGAAGCCAAGGCCATGGAGTCGTCCACTCAAGGCAGGCTGGACCTCCTACGCAGCGTCACTGGGGTACCCACAAAAAAGGAGATCAAAAAACTATTGAAAACTAGTGGAGTTGGTGGCCGCATTTCGGGTGAACCGAAACTACCCGCTGAACCTACTAAGGTGCCACCAAATCTGCTGCAGATCCGTTCAATCAACATTAATGGTCAGGACATCAAATTGGCCGACTACGGAGAAGTTATCATTGCTAACATCTCAAGCGCTGAGAGCTTCGAGGATCTAATCACCAGTATGGCCGAGCACTGGAAGCCAAACATGTACAAGCTGATGCTCCGAATGACGCAGACCTTTGTGGAAAGCACCAAAAAGGAGTTTTGGCTGAAGTACCACCTACCCACGGAATCGGTGCTCTATCAGATCATTCGACAAACACTGAAACTCCATGCGAGCTTGGACCACAAAGAAGTCTCGGAGGCATTGCCCGATATTCTGAGAAGCGTGCGCTGCTATTTCGCCTCCCGCACTCCCCTTTGTCCAGCAGAGTTTCTGAAGAAGTGCCCCAAGTGCGTGGGTTACTACAATGAGGGTACGCGGCAGGTGAATGAATCTGATGTTACAGATATGTATGTTTACCATGCGAAGCAATTTAATAGGTTTATTTATCTTACGGCACGAACACTTTTGGGTGTTTTTTTTTTTTATTAGCTATCCTGTATGTAAATATATGTTTGTATATTTGAAATATCCAATTGAACAGCGATATTTAAAGAGCTGTCCAGCATTATATGTACAGATCCTGAGGATCGCCTTCACGGACTTTAACATGGGGTTGGAGACCAATTGTAAACTGGATAATATTAAGTTCTTGAAGGTTATGCCAGATGCAAGCGAGGAACTGGGGCAAACACTCTGTGGATTCACCATGACCGATGACTTTGACGTGTATAGCAATCGTGCTGTGGTCGTTGAAAAGAAGTCGCCAAATTTTGATGGACTTGGCTTCCAGTTCTCATTCACCCTCAAGCACTTATTGATGAGACATTTTCGAATTTATAATTTATAATGTACAATTATATATTATGTCTAATATAATTTAGGTCTCGTCNGCCTGGCGTCTGAAATGGTCAACAAAGCCACTTATCGCACAAGCCTAAGCAGCTACGTACAGTAAGGTACTATCCATGAAGACCTGCCAGACTAATGACTTTGTTTTTGCAGGAACACCTTTAAAAAGATCTTCAAGGAAGCCAAGGCCATGGAGTCGTCCACTCAAGGCAGGCTGGACCTCCTACGCAGCGTCACTGGGGTACCCACAAAAAAGGAGATCAAAAAACTATTGAAAACTAGTGGAGTTGGTGGCCGCATTTCGGGTGAACCGAAACTACCCGCTGAACCTACTAAGGTGCCACCAAATCTGCTGCAGATCCGTTCAATCAACATTAATGGTCAGGACATCAAATTGGCCGACTACGGAGAAGTTATCATTGCTAACATCTGAAGCGCTGAGAGCTTCGAGGATCTAATCACCAGTATGGCCGAGCACTGGAAGCCAAACATGTACAAGCTGATGCTCCGAATGACGCAGACCTTTGTGGAAAGCACCAAAAAGGAGTTTTGGCTGAAGTACCACCTACCCACGGAATCGGTGCTCTAACAGATCATTCGACAAACACTGAAACTCCATGCGAGCTTGGACCACAAAGAAGTCTCGGAGGCATTGCCCGATATTCTGAGAAGCGTGCGCTGCTATTTCGCCTCCCGCACTCCCCTTTGTCCAGCAGAGTTTCTGAAGAAGTGCCCCAAGTGCGTGGGTTACTACAATGAGGGTACGCGGCAGGTGAATGAATCTGATGTTACAGATATGTATGTTTACCATGCGAAGCAATTTAATAGGTTTATTTATCTTACGGCACGAACACTTTTGGGTGTTTTTTTTTTATTAGCTATCCTGTATGAAAATATATGTTTGTATATTTGAAATATCCAATTGAACAGCGATATTTAAAGAGCTGTCCAGCATTATATGTACAGATCCTGAGGATCGCCTTCACGGACTTTAACATGGGGTTGGAGACCAATTGTAAACTGGATAATATTAAGTTCTTGAAGGTTATGCCAGATGCAAGCGAGGAACTGGGGCAAACACTCTGTGGATTCACCATGACCGATGACTTTGACGTGTATAGCAATCGTGCTGTGGTCGTTGAAAAGAAGTCGCCAAATTTTGATGGACTTGGCTTCCAGTTCTCATTCACCCTCAAGCACTTATTGATGAGACATTTTCGAATTTATAATTTATAATGTACAATTATATATTATGTCTAATATAATTTAGGTCTCGTCAATCGTTCTACTTGCAAAGACAACAAAAATCCTAAATGTCTAATCTGTCTATTAGTGATAGTTTCTGTTAATTGCCTTGCATCATTTCGTTCTTGGATTGACAAAGATATCCATGTCGTAGACCACGTTATGTATATTCCTGCGGAATGGCAAGACTCTGGCGGTGTCTTCAAAGGATTGCTTTACCTGCCGCAAGCGGCTATGGATCTCGGCCAAATCGTGCCGCTGTCCAATTGATAACTCCATGTCATTGAAGACTATGGCCGAGAACAGGCTGGCAGTCTCAGGGGAGATCTTGAATTAGTAGCCAACACTGAGTTTCTGCTTAATTGCCGCGTCATTAATGAGCACCGTGTGGGAGTGGGAGGCCTGCGCAGAGTCGGTAGACTAGGAGTGGAGTGAATGTGAATACAATTAGAATTTGTTGTAATAGTTGTGCCTTGGGCCCTCTATTTACCGTTGGTAACGCGCTGGCCAGGCGAAAGTCCCGATTCGCCTTCAGCACGAAGCACGTGGAGAGCTCGGCATTGGGCACGTAAGCACGGATGCAGATCCAGCAGCCTCAGGCGCTTTTTGACCTTTGTTGGCAATTGATATGTGTTCACAATAGGTAGGACTTCGTGTAGAAATTTGTCACACGCTTCATGTGGAGTGAGATATTCAATTCGTTCCAGACAGAAACATCCTGTATATAAAGAAGCCGGCACAAGCCGCTACGTACTGAATCAAGCTATCGTGTAGGTGTGGGAGAGTGGTGCGCAACGTCGTTGATCCGGTCGAGGCTCAGATGTTTGCAATGAAGATCTCTTCATCTACAGTTTCATTCATGTTATTTAGTACATATTAGTTAAATCATAGTTCGAAACGGCTCACAGTTTCAATGGTATCTTTCATAAACTTATAAAATACTTATAAAATATCGATAGCCATCAACAGGTAGCATCAGATATAATTGTCCATTTGTATGCTGTTAAATTATGCTAAAATACTATTGCTTTTTACCCCGCGAGTGAACAATTTTAATTAGAATAAACGGTGCTTTGATTGGATTTAATTTCTGTATAAATGTGAAGCGATATTCCATTTCAGTGCCGCCCATCCCTAATAAAATAATAAGCAAAGAAAACAACAAAAGGGAGAAAGAACTGGAAGTTCAGTACATACATGAGGATGTATGTATATTTACTAAAAGGGGCAATGCGCAATGACTTTCGCAGCCATTTAATGAGTACTAATAATTACACTACTCGACAAGATTTTTCCGCTTCGATCCAGTTATGATAAAAAAAGAAGCGCCACCTCTAAAATAAAGAGCTACCGTTACGAAACAATACCCATTTAAAAATTCTTCAAACAAGTTGGTTTCCTTCGAAGCTGAAAAAAAATGTTTGATTTTGTCGAGCAGTGTTATTTTTCCATTCCGCGTTGCCTTTTCTTGTTGCTTCTGTCTATTTTTCCTTTTCTTTCGGGCCCAGCAACCACACACACGAACTCGTAAACATGTTGCACTCTCTCTCTCCCACACAGTGTCTGGGTGCTCCGATTTAGTCTGATAAGCCGAATTTGAAAGTTCTAGAATATAGATATGTTTTTATCTCGTAAACATATTTCACTCTCTCTCTCCCACACAGTGTCAGGGTGCTCCAATGTAGTCTGATTAGCAGAATTTGAAAGTTCTAGAATATAGATATGTTTTTATTTAGATGTTGAAATCTAATTACATAATTATTAGTGGGTTTATATTATTATTATTATTACCCGCCTGTAGTCCCTGCCAGATATATATCCATGGCTTTCTTATTTAGGATTACCGTCTCTCGACGCCTGGGTATTGGCTGTATGTTAGGCAGCCGAGTACCGTTCACTGCGTTAAGGCTCATATCAGAGCTTGTAAAATCATCAGAGTGATAATAACTAGGTAAATACACCCAATTCCGTACATCTGCCGCCACGTCACTGGGGGTCGGGCGGGGATCGTCGGGCGAGACGACCATTTGGGTGGTCCCACTGGACTGTGATGAACTTGTGATGGTTATGGCACTGTCCTGCCTAGCTACCGACGCCGGCGACGAGGACAAGGAGGACAGATTGAGCTCATGATTGCCCAAGCCGCGGTACAGCCGCTTCCGTTCGCGCTTGGCTTCTGCCACTGCACTGGTCGTCGGGCGGGGATCGTCGCTGGCTTCCGACGAGACCTGCCTAGCTACCGACGCCGGCGACGAGGACGAGGAGGACAGATTGCGCTCATGATTGTCCAAGCCGCGGTACAGCCGCTTCCGTTCGCGCTTGGGTTCCATCGGTTCCTTGTGTTTCTTACGCCAAATTACGAAAGCTTAGAGATAGAAAAATATAAAAGAAGTAAGCTAATCCTGTGATCGAATTTATGTTTAAAGTGCAATTTTACCTCGATCAATATTCTTGCGCGGCTCGCGTCCGCACAGATCTGGTTTGAACACGTAAAAGAATGGGCGTAAAAGGTGTAGGTACTGTTCGAAAATATATTGCTGTTCATATATCGATATATCGATACATACAAATATCGCTGGGCGATTCTAAAGTGCATTAAAATGTAAAATATTCAACAATATGGCTCAACCACCGAATCTCACGGCCCGAGAAGTGCAGCAGGTATTTGCAGAGATTCTCAGCCATGGCGAGGACATCGCCTGGGATCTGTGAGTGCCCGCCCAAAAATCCTTTGTCCCTCACTTGAAATCTATAGATGGCCAATCCCTGACCTGACTGATTGCTGCAGAATCAACGAGACATTCTGAAAAGGAAAGTTCGATAAATATTTAATCTTAATTAATTAATTAATTTAATTTTATTTATGTCTCATAAATAATTCTGGACAACGTTTTGACTCTACGTAAGCAGACTCCGCGAAACAGCAGCTCCGTCACTAATCCAGACGTACATACATAACTTTAGGTAAATGCGCCAACGGCCAGTCCCTTTCTGCGTTGTTCTTTGCGGTTATTNTTGCCCAAGGCGCGGTACAGCCGCTTCCGTTCGCGCTTGGCTTCTGCCACTGCACTGGTCGTCGGGCGGGGATCGTCGCTGGCTTCCGACGAGACCTGCCTAGCTACCGACGCCGGCGACGAGGACGAGGAGGACAGATTGAGCTCATGATTGCCCAAGACGCGGTACAGCCGCTTCCGTTCGCGCTTGGGTTCCATCGGTTCCTTGTGTTTCTTACGCCAAATTACGAAAGCTTAGAGATAGAAAAATATAAAAGAAGTAAGCTAATCCTGTGATCGAATTTATGTTTAAAGTGCAATTTTACCTCGATCAATATTCTTGCGCGGCTCGCGTCCGCACAGATCTGGTTTGAACACGTAAAAGAATGGGCGTAAAAGGTGTAGGTACTGTTCGAAAATATATTGCTGTTCATATATCGATATATCGATACATACAAATATCGCTGGGCGATTCTAAAGTGCATTAAAATGTAAAATATTCAACAATATGGCTGAACCACCGAATCTCACGGCCCGAGAAGTGCAGCAGGTATTTGCAGAGATTCTCAGCCATGGCGAGGACATCACCTGGGATCTGTGAGTGCCCGCCCAAAAATCCTTTGTCCCTCACTTGAAATCTATAGATGGCCAATCCCTGACCTGACTGATTGCTGCAGAATCAACGAGACATTCTGAAAAGGAAAGTTCGATAAATATTTAATCAGAGACATAAATAATTCTGGACAACGTTTTGACTCTACGTAAGCAGACTCCGCGAAACAGCAGCTCCGTCACTAATCCAGACGTACATACATAACTTTAGGTAAATGCGCCAACGGCCAGTCCCTTTCTGCGTTGTTCTTTGCGGTTATTGTGAATGGAGTGACCGACTTGAAGGAGGCTGAGAATAGCAGATCCTGGTCGATCCACCCAGTTTTCCGCTGCCGTCGCTGCGATGGTAATGTCGTACATTAAAGTAGTTTCAAATTGATCCAATTGCATATGCCTATCACTATACTACTTTCAGCCGACACGGATGGAGGGATGAGCAGCAGCCCAGACTGTTGCGGTATGTATGTGGATCAAATCGGGCTCTTTGAGGACTGCGATGCATACTTAAAGCGCACAGCTCTTCCCCCAGGGGTTATGGTAACCTGTGATCGAGGCGTCTACAAGCTGATCGATGGGCAGGTTGAGCTTAAAACTTATTTGATAACGGAGAAAATGTACACACGCAATGCGTGCTTCATAACGTCTGAAGGTCTGAAGGCAGCCTTGGAATTTCCTGGAGTGCATCGGCTTTACTCGGAATCAAGCTCTAGATATATATTGCAAGTAACATAGTAGTAGAACATATAAGAGCGAGCGACAAAGTGCTATACCTGCTTTTGTATGATACTTTTAATCTCTGGTATATGTATGAGAAACGTTCTATTTGTGCTCCCTCAAAGGCGTGTTGATGGGGGGAAGGTCGATACTCTAAGTGCATGGCTGCTCTCCGAGTCGTTGGTTCTGTTTACGCACAGCGTCAATAACTTTCGCCTGGCGTCTGAAATGGTCAACAAAGCCACTTATCGCACAAGCCTAAGCAGCTACGTACAGTAAGGTACTATCCATGAAGACCTGCCAGACTAATGACTTTGTTTTTGCAGGAACACCTTTAAAAAGATCTTCAAGGAAGCCAAGGCCATGGAGTCGTCCACTCAAGGCAGGCTGGACCTCCTACGCAGCGTCACTGGGGTACCCACAAAAAAGGAGATCAAAAAACTATTGAAAACTAGTGGAGTTGGTGGCCGCATTTCGGGTGAACCGAAACTACCCGCTGAACCTACTAAGGTGCCACCAAATCTGCTGCAGATCCGTTCAATCAACATTAATGGTCAGGACATCAAATTGGCCGACTACGGAGAAGTTATCATTGCTAACATCTCAAGCGCTGAGAGCTTCGAGGATCTAATCACTAGTATGGCCGAGCACTCTGAATGACGCAGACCTTTGTGGAAAGCACCAAAAAGGAGTTTTGGCTGAAGTACCTCCTACCCACGGAATCGGTGCTCTATCAGATCATTCGACAAACACTGAAACTCCATGCGAGCTTGGACCACAAAGAAGTCTCGGAGGCATTGCCCGATATGCAGTCCCCTTTGTCCACCAGAGTTTCTGAAGAAGTGCCCCAAGAGCGTGGGTTACTACAATGAGGGTACGCGGCAGGTGAATGAATCTGATGTTTGATCTGATATATAATATGCCTTACACTTACAGATATGTATGTTTACCATGAGGAAGCAATTGTATAGGTTTATTTATCTTACGGCACGAACACTTTTGGGTGTTTTTTTTTTTATTAGCTATCCTGTATGAAAATACATGTTTGTATATTTGAAATACCCAATTGAACAGCGATATTAAAAAAGCTGTCCAGCATTCTATGTACAGATCCTGAGGATCGCCTTCACGCACTTCAACATGGGTTCGGAGACCAATTGTAAACTGGATAATATTAAGTTCTAGAATATTATGCCAGATGCAAGCGAGGAACTGGGGCAAACACTCTGTGGATTCACCATGCCCGATGACTTTGACGTGTCGCCAAATTTTGATAGACTTTGCTTCCAGTTCTCATTCACCCTCAAGCACTTATTGATGAGACATTTTCGAATTTATAATGTACAATTATGTCTAATATAATTTAGGTCTCCTCAATCGTTCTACTTGCAAAGACAACAAAAATCCTAAATGTCTAATCTGTCTATTAGTGATAGTTTCTGTTAATTGCATCATTTCGTTCTTAGATTGACAAAGATATCCATGTCGTAGACCACGTTATGTATATTCCTGCGGAATGGCAATACTGTGTGCCGCTGTCCAATTGATAACTCCATGTCATTGAAGACCATGGCCGAGAACAGGCTGGCAGTCTCAGGGGAGATCTTGAATTAGTAGCCAACACTGAGTTTCTGCTTAATTGCCGCGTCATTAATGAGCACCGTGTGGGAGTGGGAGGCTTGCGCAGAGTCGTTAGACTAGGAGTGGAGTGAATGTGAATACAATTAGAATTTGTTGTAATAGTTGTGCCTTGGGCGGAGATAAATGGCAACCATTGCGCGACCGGTCCGCTTTCAGGGCTAAGCGGAAGTCGTGCTTCGTGCACCTCTCGAGCCGTAACCCGTGCATGACTATCGGGACGAGCTACTCTGCTTTCGTGCCTACGTCTAGGTGCAGCCTCAGGCGCTTTTTGACCTTTGTTGGCAATTGACATGTGTTCACAATAGGTAGGACTTCGTGTAGAAATTTGTCACACGCTTCATGTGGAGTGAGATCTTCAATTCGTTCCAGACAGAAACATCCTGTATATAAAGAAGCCGGCACAAGCCGCTGCGTACTGAATCAAGCTATCGTGTAGGTGTGGGAGAGTGGTGCGCAACGTCGTTGATACGGTCGAGGCTCAGATGTTTGCAATGAAGATCTCTTCATCTACAGTTTCATTCATGTTATGTAGTACATATTAGTTAAATCATAGTTCGAAACGGCTCACAGTTTCAATGGTATCTTTCATAAACTTATAAAATACTTATAAAATATCGATAACCATCAACAGGTAGCATCAGATATAATTGTCCATTTTTATGCCGTTAAATTATGCTAAAATTGATAACGAAAAATGGGGCGCTCACTTGTTAAAATTAATCTTATAATACGCATAAGTTTGTCACGAAACTAACCTAAATTAAAGACATATTTACACTTCGCTATGAAGGTAAAGTCACGGCGGGTAGGGATTATTTTAAATAAGCAAAGAAAACAACAAAAGGGAGAAAGAACTGGAAGTTCAGTACATACATGAGGATATATGTATATTTACCAAAAGGGGCAATGCGCTTATGATTTTCGCAGCCATTTAATTACACTACTCGACAAGATTTTTCCGCTTCGACCCAGTTATGATAAAAAAAGAAGCGCCACCTCTAAAATAAAGAGCTACCGTTACGAAACAATACCCATTTAAAAATTCTTCAAACAAAGTGGTTTGCTTCGAAGCTGAAAAAAAATGTTTGATTTTGTCGGGTAGTGTTATTTTTCCATTCCGCGTTGCCTTTCCTCGTTTTCTTCTGTCTATTTCTCCTTTTCTTTCGGGCCCGGCAACCACACACACGCACTCGTAAACATATTGCACTCTCTCTCTCCCACACAGTGTCTGGGTGCTCCGATTTAGTCTGATAAGCAGAATTTGAAAGCTCCAGAATCTAGATATGTTTTTATTTAGATGTTGAAATCTAATTACATAATTATTAGTGGGTTTATATTATTATTATTATTACCCGCCAGTAGTCCCTGCCAGATATATATCCATGGCTTTCTTATTTAGGATTACCGTCTCTCGACGCCTGGGTATTGGCTGTATGTTAGGCAGCCGAGTACCGTTCACTGCGTTAAGGCTCATATCAGAGCTTGTGTGATAATAACTAGTAAATACACAAAATTCCGTCCATCTGCCGACACGTCACTGGGGGTCGGGCGGGGATCGTCGGGCGAGACGACCATTTCGGTGGTCCCACTGGACTGTGATGAACTTGTGATGGTTATGGCATTGTCCTGCCTAGCTACCGACGCCGGCGACGAGGACGAGGGGGACAGATTGAGCTCATGATTGCCCAAGCCGCGGTACAGCCGCTTCCGTTCGCGCTTGGCTTCCGCCACTGCACTGGTCGTCGGGCGGGGATCGTCGCTGGCTTCCGACGAGACCTGCCTAGCTACCGACGCCGGCGACGAGGACGAGGAGGACAGATTGCGCTCATGATTGTCCAAGCCGCGGTACAGCCGCTTCCGTTCGCGCTTGGCTTCCGCCACTGCACTGGTCGTCGGGCGGGGATCGTCGCTGGCTTCCGACGAGACCTGCCTAGCTACCGACGCCGGCGACCTCCTGCTCCTCCTGTCTAACGCGAGTACTAACAGGTTCGGCGCCATGTCGGCGAAGGCAAGCGCGAACCCAAGGTAGCCAAGGAACACAAAGAATGCGGTTTAATGCTTTCGAATCTCAATGTTTTTATATTTTCTTCATTCGATTAGGACACTAGCTTAAATACAAATTTCACGTTAAAATGGAGCTAGTTATAAGAGGCTCGCGTCCGCACAGTTCTGGTTTGAAAACGTAAAAGAATGGGCGTAAAAGGTGTAGGTACTTTTCGAAAATATATTGCAGTTCATATATCGATATATCGATACATACAAATATCGCTGAGGCGATTCTAAAGTGCATTAAAATGTAAAATATTCAACAATATGGCTGAACCACCTTATCTCACGGCCCGAGAAGTGCAGCAGGTATTTGCAGAGATTCTCAGCCATGGCGAGGACATCACCTGGGATCTGTGAGTGCCCACCCAAAAATCCTTTGTCCCTCACTTGAAATCTATAGATGGCCAATCCTTGACCTGACTGATTGCTGCAGAATCAACGAGACATTCTGAAAAGGAAAGTTCGATAAATATTTAATCAGAGACATAAATAATTCTGGACAACGTTTTGACTCTACGTAAGCAGACTCCGCGAAACAGCAGCTCCGTCACTAATCCAGACGTACATACATAACTTTAGGTAAATGCGCCAACGGCCAGTCCGTTTCTGCGTTGTTCTTTGCGGTTATTGTGAATGGAGTGACCGACTTGAAGGAGGCTGAGAATAGCAGATCCTGGTCGATCCACCCAGTTTTCCGCTGCCGTCGCTGCGATGGTAATGTCGTACATTAAAGTAGTTTCAAATTGATCCAATTGCATATGCCTATCACTATACTACTTTCAGCCGACACGGATGGAGGGATGAGCAGCAGCCCAGACTGTTGCGTGATGTATGTGGATCTAAGCGGGCTCTTTGAGGACTGGGATACATACTAAATACGCACAGCTCTTCCCCCAGGGGTTATGGTAACCTGTGATCGAGGCGTCTACAAGCTGATCGATGGGCAGGTTGAGCTTAAAACTTATTTGATAACGGAGAAAATGTACACACGCAATGCGTGCTTCATAACGTCTGAAGGTCTGAAGGCAGCCTTGGAATTTCCTGGAGTGCATCGGCTTTACTCGGAATCAAGCTCTAGATATATATTGCAAGTAAATGAAGTAGAACATATAAGAGCGAGCGACAAAGTGCTATACCTGCTTTTGGTAGGCATTGTATGATACACTTAATCTCTGGTATATGTCTGAGAAACGTTCTATTTGTGTTCAATAACTTGTGTCAATAACTTTCGCCTGGCATCTGAAATGGTCAACAAAGCCTCTTATCGCACAAGCCTAAGCAGCTACGTACAGTAAGGTACTATCCATGAAGACCTGCCAGACTAATGACTTTGTTTTTGCAGGAACACCTTTAAAAAGATCTTCAAGGAAGCCAAGGCCATGGAGTCGTCCACTCAAGGCAGGCTGGACCTCCTACGCAGCGTCACTGGGGTACCCACAAAAAAGGAGATCAAAAAACTATTGAAAACTAGTGGAGTTGGTGGCCGCATTTCGGGTGAACCGAAACTACCCGCTCAACCTACTAAGGTGCCACCAAATCTGCTGCAGATCCGTTCAATCAACATTAATGGTCAGGACATCAAATTGGCCGACTACGGAGAAGTTATCATTGCTAACATCTCAAGCGCTGAGAGCTTCGAGGATCTAATCACCAGTATGGCCGAGCACTGGAAGCCAAACATGTACAAGCTGATGCTCCGAATGACGCAGACCTTTGTGGAAAGCACCAAAAAGGAGTTTTGGCTGAAGTACCACCTACCCACGGAATCGGTGCTCTATCAGATCATTCGACAAACACTGAAACTCCATGCGAGCTTGGACCACAAAGAAGTCTCGGAGGCATTGCCCGATATTCTGAGAAGCGTGCGCTGCTATTTCGCCTCCCGCACTCCCCTTTGTCCACCAGAGTTTCTGAAGAAGTGCCCCAAGTGCGTGGGTTACTACAATGAGGGTACGCGGCAGGTGAATNATGGAGTCGTCCACTCAAGGCAGGCTGGACCTCCTACGCAGCGTCACTGGGGTACCCACAAAAAAGGAGATCAAAAAACTATTGAAAACTAGTGGAGTTGGTGGCCGCATTTCGGGTGAACCGAAACTACCCGCTGAACCTACTAAGGTGCCACCAAATCTGCTGCAGATCCGTTCAATCAACATTAATGGTCAGGACATCAAATTGGCCGACTACGGAGAAGTTATCATTGCTAACATCTCAAGCGCTGAGAGCTTCGAGGATCTAATCACCAGTATGGCCGAGCACTGGAAGCCAAACATGTACAAGCTGATGCTCCGAATGACGCAGACCTTTGTGGAAAGCACCAAAAAGGAGTTTTGGCTGAAGTACCACCTACCCACGGAATCGGTGCTCTATCAGATCATTCGACAAACACTGAAACTCCATGCGAGCTTGGACCACAAAGAAGTCTCGGAGGCATTGCCCGATATTCTGAGAAGCGTGCGCTGCTATTTCGCCTCCCGCACTCCCCTTTGTCCACCAGAGTTTCTGAAGAAGTGCCCCAAGTGCGTGGGTTACTACAATGAGGGTACGCGGCAGGTGAATGAATCTGATGTTACAGATATGTATGTTTACCATGCGAAGCAATTTAATAGGTTTATTTATCTTACGGCACGAACACTTTTGGGTGTTTTTTTTTTTATTAGCTATCCTGTATGTAAATATCGGCCAAATCGTGCCGCTGTCCAATTGATAACTCCATGTCATTGAAGACTATGGCCGAGAACAGGCTGGCAGTCTCAGGGGAGATCTTGAATTAGTAGCCAACACTGAGTTTCTGCTTAATTGCCGCGTCATTAATGAGCACCGTGTGGGAGTGGGAGGCCTGCGCAGAGTCGGTAGACTAGGAGTGGAGTGAATGTGAATACAATTAGAATTTGTTGTAATAGTTGTGCCTTGGGCCCTCTATTTACCGTTGGTAACGCGCTGGCCAGGCGAAAGTCCCGATTCGCCTTCAGCACGAAGCACGTGGAGAGCTCGGCATTGGGCACGTACTGATAGCCCTGCTCGATGAGACGAAAGCACGGATGCAGATCCAGCAGCCTCAGGCGCTTTTTGACCTTTGTTGGCAATTTATATGTGTTCACAATAGGTAGGACTTCGTGTAGAAATTTGTCACACGCTTCATGTGGAGTGAGTATATAAAGAAGCCGGCACAAGCCGCTGCGTACTGAATCAAGCTATCGTGTAGGTTTGGGAGAGTGGTGCGCAACGTCGTTGATACGGTCGAGGCTCAGATGTTTGCAATGAAGATCTCTTCATCTACAGTTTCATTCATGTTACATATTAGTTAAATCATAGTTCGAAACGGCTCACAGTTTCAATGGTATCTTTCATAAACTTATAAAATACTTATAAAATATCGATAGCCATCAACAGGTAGCATCAGATATAATTGTCCATTTGTATGCCGTTAAATTATGCTAAAATACTATTGCTTTTTACCCCGCCAGTGAACAATTTCAATTAGAATATTATGCGTATTCAAACAGTGCTTTGATTGGATTTAATTTCTGTATAAATGTGAAGCGATACTTCCATTTCAGTGCCGCCCATCCCTAATAAAATAATAAGCAAAGAAAACAACAAAAGGGAGAAAGAACTGGAAGTTCAGTATATACATGAAATGTATGTATATTTACCAAAAGGGGCAATGCGATTATGACTTTCGCAGCCATTTAATGAGTACTAATAATTACACTACTCGACAAGATTTTTCCGCTTCGATCCAGTTATGATAAAAAAAGAAGCGCCACCTCTAAAATAAAGAGCTACCGTTACAAAAGAACACCCATTTAAAAATTCTTCAAACAAGTTGATTTGCTTCGAAGCTGAAAAAAAATGTTTGATTTTGTCGAACAGTGTTATTTTTCCATTCCGCGTTGCCTTTCCTTGTTTTCTTCTGTCTATTTCTCCTTTTCTTTCGGGCCCGGCAACCACACACACGCACTCGTAAACACATTGCACTCTCCGCACAGTTCTGGTTTGAAAACGTAAAAGAATGGGCGTAAAAGGTGTAGGTATTGTTCGAAAATATATTGCAGTTCATTATCGATATATCGATACTTACAAATATCGCTGAGGCGATTCTAAAGTTAATTAAAATATAAAATATTCAACAATATGGCTGAACCACCTTATCTCACGGCCCGAGAAGTGCAGCAGGTATTTGCAGAGATTCTCAGCCATGGCGAGGACATCACCTGGGATCTGTGAGTGCCCGCCCAAAAATCCTTTGTCCCTCACTTAAAATCTATAGATGGCCAATCCCTGACCTGACAGATTGCTGCAGAATCAACGAGACATTCTGAAAAGGAAAGTTCGAGAAATATTTAATCAGAGACATAAATAATTCTGGACAACGTTTGGACTCTACGTAACCAGACTCCGCGAAACAGCAGCTCCGTCACTAATCCAGACGTACATACATAACTTTAGGTAAATGCGCCAACGGCCAGTCCCTTTCTGCTTTGTTCTTTGCGGTTATTGTGAATGGAGTGACCGACTTGAAGGAGGCAGAGAATAGCAGATCACCCAGTTTTCCGATGCCGTCGCTGCGATGGTAATGTCGTACATTAAAGTAGTTTCAAATTGATCCAATTGCATATGCCTATCACTATACTACTTTCAGCCGACACGGATGGAGGGATGAGCAGCAGCCCAGACTGTTGCGGTATGTATGTGGATCAAATCGGGCTCTTTGAGGACTGCGATGCATACTTAAAGCGCACAGCTCTTCCCCCAGGGGTTATGGTAACCTGTGATCGAGGCGTCTACAAGCTGATCGATGGGCAGGTTGAGCTTAAAACTTATTTGATAACGGAGAAAATGTACACACGCAATGCGTGCTTCATAACGTCTGAAGGTCTGAAGGCAGCCTTGGAATTTCCTGGAGTGCATCGGCTTTACTCGGAATCAAGATCTAGATATATATTGCAAGTAACATGCGATGCAATTCTACTACACATATAAGAGCGAGCGACAAAGTGCTATACCTGCTTTTGTATGATACACTTAATCTCTGGTATATGTATGAGAAACGTTCTATTTGTGCTCCCTCAAAGGCGTGTTGATGGGGGGAAGGTCGATACTCTAAGTGCATGGCTGCTCTCCGAGTCGTTGGTTCTGTTTACGCACAGCGTCAATAACTTTCGCCTGGCGTCTGAAATGGTGTTGTTTCGGTGAATAGCGTGTTCGGATTCGTCGATGCATGAGTAAGGTACTATCCATGAAGACCTGCCAGACTAATGACTTTGTTTTTGCAGGAACACCTTTAAAAAGATCTTCAAGGAAGCCAAGGCCATGGAGTCGTCCACTCAAGGCAGGCTGGACCTCCTACGCAGCGTCACTGGGGTACCCACAAAAAAGGAGCTCAAAAAACTCTTGAAAACTAGTGGAGTTGGTGGCCGCATTTCGGGTGAACCGAAACTACCCGTTGAACCTACTAAGGTGCCACCAAATCTGCTGCAGATCCGTTCAATCAACAATAATGGTCAGGACATTCAATTGGACGACTACGGAGAAGTTATCATTGCTAACATCTCAAGCGCTGAGAGCTTCGAGGATCTAATCACCAGTATGGCCGAGACCGAAAAGACGCAGACCTTTGTGGAAGCACCGAAAACGAGTTTTGGCTGAAGTACCACCTACCCACGGAATCGGTGCTCTATCAGATCATTCGACAAACACTGAAACACCATGCGAGCTTGGACCACAAAGAAGTCTCGGAGGCATTGCCCGATATTCTGAGAAGCGTGCGCTGCTATTTCGCCACCCGCAGTCCCCTTTGTCCTCCAGAGTTTCTGAAGAAGTGCCCCAAGTGCGTGGGTTACTACAATGAGGGTACGCGGCAGGTGAATGAATCTGATGTTTGATCTGATATATAATATGCCTTACACTTACAGATATGTATGTTTGCCATGCGAAGCAATTGAATAGGTTTATATGTCTTACGGCACGAACACTTTTGGGTGTTTTTTTGTATATGTTTGTATATTTGAAATATCCAATTGAACAGCGATATTTAAAGAGCTGTCCAGCATTCTATGTACAGATCCTGAGGATCGCCTTCACGGACTTCAACATGGGTTCGGAGACCAATTGTAAACTGGATAATATTAAGTTCTAGAAGGTTATGCCAGATGCAAGCGAGGAACTGGGGCATTGTGAGACACCTAGGTCCATGCCCGATGACTTTGACGTGTATAGCAATCGTGCTGTGGTCGTTGGAAAGAAGTCGCCAAATTTTGATGGACTTGGCTTCCAGTTCTCATTCACCCTCAAGCACTTATTGATGAGACATTTTCGAATTTATAATTTATAATGTACAATTATATATTATGTCTAATATAATTTAGGTCTCCTCAATCGTTCTACTTGCAAAGACAACAAAAATCCTAAATGTCTAATCTGTCTATTAGTGATAGTTTCTGTTAATTGCCTTGCATCATTTCGTTCTTAGATTGACAAAGATATCCATGTCGTAGACCACGTTATGTGTATTCCTGCGGAATGGCAAGACTCTGGCGGTGTCTTCAAAGGATTGCTTTACCTGCCGCAAGCGGCGATGGATCTCGGCCAAATCGTGCCGCTGTCCAATTGATAACTCCATGTCATTGAAGACCATGGCCGAGAACAGGCTGGCAGTCTCAGGGGAGATCTTGAAGTAGTAGCCAACACTGAGTTTCTGCTTAATTGCCGCGTCATTAATGAGCACCGTGTGGGAGTGGGAGGCCTGCGCAGAGTCGGTAGACTAGGAGTGGAGTGAATGTGAATACAATTAAAATTTGTTGTAATAGTTGTGCCTTGGGCCCTCTATTTACCGTTGGTAACGCGCTGGCCAGGCGAAAGTCCAACGGAAAATAGAGGNTTGGGTGTTTTTTTTTATTAGCTATCCTGTATGAAAATATATGTTTGTATATTTGAAATATCCAATTGAACAGCGATATTTAAAGAGCTGTCCAGCATTCTATGTACAGATCCTGAGGATCGCCTTCACGGACTTCAACATGGGTTCGGAGACCAATTGTAAACTGGATAATATTAAGTTCTAGAAGGTTATGCCAGATGCAAGCGAGGAACTGGGGCAAACACTCTGTGGATCCACCATGCCCGATGACTTTGACGTGTATAGCAATCGTGCTGTGGTCGTTGGAAAGAAGTCGCCAAATTTTGATGGACTTGGCTTCCAGTTCTCATTCACCCTCAAGCACTTATTGATGAGACATTTTCGAATTTATAATTTATAATGTACAATTATATATTATGTCTAATATAATTTAGGTCTCCTCAATCGTTCTACTTGCAAAGACAACAAAAATCCTAAATGTCTAATCTGTCTATTAGTGATAGTTTCTGTTAATTGCCTTGCATCATTTCGTTCTTAGATTGACAAAGATATCCATGTCGTAGACCACGTTATGTATATTCCTGCGGAATGGCAAGACTCTGGCGGTGTCTTCAAAGGATTGCTTTACCTGCTGCAAGCGGCGATGGATCTCGGCCAAATCGTGCCGCTGTCCAATTGATAACTCCATGTCATTGAAGACCATGGCCGAGAACAGGCTGGCAGTCTCAGGGGAGATCTTGAATTAGTAGCCAACACTGAGTTTCTGCTTAATTGCCGCGTCATTAATGAGCACCGTGTGGGAGTGGGAGGCCTGCGCAGAGTCGGTAGACTAGGAGTGGAGTGAATGTGAATACAATTAAAATTTGTTGTAATAGTTGTGCCTTGGGCCCTCTATTTACCGTTGGTAACGCGCTGGCCAGGCGAAAGTCCCGATTCGCCTTCAGCACGAAGCACGTGGAGAGCTCGGCATTGGGCACGTACTGATAGCCCTGCTCGATGAGACGAAAGCACGGATGCAGATCCAGCAGCCTCAGGCGCTTTTTGACCTTTGTTGGCAATTGACATGTGTTCACAATAGGTAGGACTTAGTGTAGAAATTTGTCACACGCTTCATGTGGAGTGAGATCTTCAATTCGTTCCAGACAGAAACATCCTGTATATAAAGAAGCCGGCACAAGCCGCTGCGTACTGAATCAAGCTATCGTGTAGGTGTGGGAGAGTGGTGCGCAACGTCGTTGATACGGTCGAGGCTCAGATGTTTGCAATGAAGATCTCTTCATCTACAGTTTCATTCATGTTACATATTAGTTAAATCATAGTTCGAAACGGCTCACAGTTTCAATGGTATCTTTCATAAACTTATAAAATACTTATAAAATATCGATAACCATCAACAGGTGGCATCAGATATAATTGTCCATTTGTATGCCGTTAAATTATGCTAAAATACTATTGCTTTTTACCCCGCGAGTGAACAATTTTAATTAGAATATTATGCGTATTCAAACAGTGCTTTGATTGGATTTAATTTCTGTATAAATGTGAAGCGATACTTCCATTTCAGTGCCGCCCATCCCTAATAAAATAATAAACAACGAAAACAACAAAAGGGAGAAAGAACTGGAAGTTCAGTACATACATGAGGATGTATGTATATTTACCAAAAGGGGAAATGCGCTTATGACTTTCGCAGCCATTTAATTACACTACTCGACAAGATTTTTCCGCTTCGACCCAGTTATGATAAAAAAAGAAGCGCCACCTCTAAAATAAAGAGCTACCGTTACGAAACAATACCCATTTAAAAATTCTTCAAACAAATTGGTTTGCTTCGAAGCTGAAAAAAAATGTTTGATTTTGTCGGGTAGTGTTATTTTTCCATTCCGCGTTGCCTTTCCTTGTTTCTTCTGTCTATTTCTCCTTTTCTTTCGGGCCCAGCAACCACACACACGAACTCGTAAACATATTGCACTCTCTCTCCCACACAGTGTCTGGGTGCTCCGATTTAGTCTGATAAGCAGAATAACTTTCGAGGTCTTAGATCTATACAAAAATAAATCTACAACTTTAGATTAATGTATTAATAATCACCCAAATATAATAATAATAATAATGGGCGGACATCAGGGACGGTCTATATATAGGTACCGAAAGAATAAATCCTAATGGCAGAGAGCTGCGGACCCATAACCGACATACAATCCGTCGGCTCATGGCAAGTGAGCGTTAAGGCTCATATCAGAGCTTGTGTGATAATAACTAGTAAATACACACAATTCCGTCCATCTGCCGACACGTCACTGGGGGTCGGGCGGGGATCGTCGGGCGAAACGACCATTTCGGTGGTCCCACTGGACTGTGATGAACTTGTGATGGTTATGGCATTGTCCTGCCTAGCTACCGACGCCGGCGACGAGGACGAGGGGGACAGATTGAGCTCATGATTGCCCAAGCCGCGGTACAGCCGCTTCCGTTCGCGCTTGGCTTCCGCCACTGCACTGGTCGTCGGGCGGGGATCGTCGCTGGCTTCCGACGAGACCTGCCTAGCTACCGTCGCCGGCGACGAGGACGAGGACAGATTGCGCTCATGATTGTCCAAGCCGCGGTACAGCCGCTTCCGTTCGCGCTTGGGTTCCATCGGTTCCTTGTGTTTCTTACGCCAAATTACGAAAGCTTAGAGTTAGAAAAATATAAAAGAAGTAAGCTAATCCTGTGATCGAATTTATGTTTAAAGTGCAATTTTACCTCGATCAATATTCTTGCGCGGCTCGCGTCCGCACAGTTCTGGTTTGAAAACGTAAAAGAATGGGCGTAAAAGGTGTAGGTACTTTTCGAAAATATTTTGCAGTTCATATATCGATATATCGATACATACAAATATCGCTGAGGCGATTCTAAAGTGCATTAAAATGTAAAATATTCAACAATATGGCTGAACCACCTTATCTCACGGCCCGAGAAGTGCAGCAGGTATTTGCAGAGATTCTCAGCCATGGCGAGGACATCACCTGGGATCTGTGAGTGCCCGCCCAAAAATCCTTTGTCCCTCACTTAAAATCTATAGATGGCCAATCCCTGACCTGACAGATTGCTGCAGAATCAACGAGACATTCTAAAAAGGAAAGTTCGAGAAATATTTAATCAGAGACATAAATAATTCTGGACAACGTTTGGACTCTACGTAAGCAGACTCCGCGAAACAGCAGCTCCGTCACTAATCCAGACGTACATACATAACTTTAGGTAAATGCGCCAACGGCCAGTCCCTTTCTGCGTTGTTCTTTGCGGTTATTGTGAATGGAGTGACCGACTTGAAGGAGGCAGAGAATAGCAGATCCTGGTCGATCCACCCAGTTTTCCGCTGCCGTCGCTGCGATGGTAATGTCGTACATTAAAGTAGTTTCAAATTGATCCAATTGCATATGCCTATCACTATACTACTTTCAGCCGACACGGATGGAGGGATGAGCAGCAGCCCAGACTGTTGCGGTATGTATGTGGATCAAATCGNATCAACGAGACATTCTAAAAAGGAAAGTTCGAGAAATATTTAATCAGAGACATAAATAATTCTGGACAACGTTTGGACTCTACGTAAGCAGACTCCGCGAAACAGCAGCTCCGTCACTAATCCAGACGTACATACATAACTTTAGGTAAATGCGCCAACGGCCAGTCCCTTTCTGCGTTGTTCTTTGCGGTTATTGTGAATGGAGTGACCGACTTGAAGGAGGCAGAGAATAGCAGATCACCCAGTTTTCCGATGCCGTCGCTGCGATGGTAATGTCGTACATTAAAGTAGTTTCAAATTGATCCAATTGCATATGCCTATCACTACTTAGTCCTACTTTCAGCCGACACGGATGGAGGGATGAGCAGCAGCCCAGACTGTTGCTGTATGTATGTGGATCAAATCGGACTCTTTGAGGACTGCGATGCATACTTAAAGCGCACAGCTCTTCCCCCAGGGGTTATGGTAACCTGTGATCGAGGCGTCTACAAGCTGATCGATGGGCAGGTTGAGCTTAAAACTTATTTGATAACGGAGAAAATGTACACACGCAATGCGTGCTTCATAACGTCTGAAGGTCTGAAGGCAGCCTTGGAATTTCCTGGAGTGCATCGGCTTTACTCGGAATCAAGATCTAGATATATATTGCAAGTAACATGCGATGCAATTCTACTACACATATAAGAGCGAGCGACAAAGTGCTATACCTGCTTTTGGTAGTCATTGTATGATACACTTAATCTCTGGTATATGTATGAGAAACGTTCTATTTGTGCTCAATAACTTGTGTCAATAACTTTCGCCTGGCGTCTGAAATGGTCAACAAAGCCACTTATCGCACAAGCCTAAGCAGCTACGTACAGTAAGGTACTATCCATGAAGACCTGTCAGACTAATGACTTTGTTTTTGCAGGAACACCTTTAAAAAGATCTTCGAAGAAGCCGAGGCCATGGAGTCGTCCACTCAAGGCAGGCTGGACCTCCTACGCAGCGTCAATGGGTTACCCACAAAACAGGAGCTCAAAAAACTCTTGAAAACTAGTTGAGTTGGTGGCCGCATTTCGGGTGAACCAAAACTACCCGTTGAACCTACTAAGGTGCCACCAAATCTGCTGCAGATCCGTTCAATCAACATTAATGGTCAGGACATTCAATTGGACGACTACGGAGAAGTTATCATTGCTAACATCTCAAGCGCTGAGAGCTTCGAGGATCTAATCACCAGTATGGCCGAGACCGAAAAGACGCAGACCTTTGTCGAAGCACCAAAAAGGAGTTTTGGCTGAAGTACCACCTACCCACGGAATCGGTGCTCTATCAGATCATTCGACAAACACTGAAACACCATGCGAGCTTGGACCACAAAGAAGTCTCGGAGGCATTGCCCGATATTCTGAGAAGCGTGCGCTGCTATTTCGCCTCCCGCAGTCCCCTTTGTCCTCCAGAGTTTCTGAAGAAGTGCCCCAAGTGCGTGGGTTACTACAATGAGGGTACGCGGCAGGTGAATGAATCTGATGTTTGATCTGATGTATAATATGCCTTACACTTACAGATACGTATGTTTGCCATGCGAAGCAATTGAATAGGTTTATATGTCTTACGGCACGAACACTTTTGGGTGTTTTTTTTTATTAGCTATCCTGTATGAAAATATATGTTTGTATATTTGAAATATCCAATTGAACAGCGATATTTAAAGAGCTGTCCAGCATTCTATGTACAGATCCTGAGGATCGCCTTCACGGACTTCAACATGGGTTCGGAGACCAATTGTAAACTGGATAATATTAAGTTCTAGAAGGTTATGCCAGATGCAAGCGAGGAACTGGGGCAAACACTCTGTGGATCCACCATGCCCGATGACTTTGACGTGTATAGCAATCGTGCTGTGGTCGTTGGAAAGAAGTCGCCAAATTTTGATGGACTTGGCTTCCAGTTCTCATTCACCCTCAAGCACTTATTGATGAGACATTTTCGAATTTATAATTTATAATGTACAATTATATATTATGTCTAATATAATTTAGGTCTCGTCAATCGTTCTACTTGCAAAGACAACAAAAATCCTAAATGTCTAATCTGTCTATTAGTGATAGTTTCTGTTAATTGCCTTGCATCATTTCGTTCTTAGATTGACAAAGATATCCATGTCGTAGACCACGTTATGTGTATTCCTGCGGAATGGCAAGACTCTGGCGGTGTCTTCAAAAGATTGCTTTACCTGCCGCAAGCGGCGATGGATCTCGGCCAAATCGTGGCGCTGTCCAATTGATAACTCCATGTCATTGAAGACCATGGCCGAGAACAGGCTGGCAGTCTCAGGGGAGATCTTGAATTAGTAGCCAACACTGAGTTTCTGCTTAATTGCCGCGTCATTAATGAGCACCGTGTGGGAGTGGGAGGCCTGCGCAGAGTCGGTAGACTAGGAGTGGAGTGAATGTGAATACAATTAGAATTTGTTGTAATAGTTGTGCCTTGGGCCCTCTATTTACCGTTGGTAACGCGCTGGCCAGGCGAAAGTCCCGATTCGCCTTCAGCACGAAGCACGTGGAGAGCTCGGCATGGGGCACGTACTGATAGCCCTGCTCGATGAGACGAAAGCACGGATGCAGATCCAGCAGCCTCAGGCGCTTTTTGACCTTTGTTGGCAATTTATATGTGTTCACAATAGGTAGGACTTCGTGTAGAAATTTGTCACACGCTTCATGTGGAGTGAGATATTCTATTCGTTCCAGACAGAAACATCCTGTATATAAAGAAGCCGGCACAAGCCGCTGCGTACTGAATCAAGCTATCGTGTAGGTGTGGGAGAGTGGTGCGCAACGTCGTTGATACGGTCGAGGCTCAGATGTTTGCAATGAAGATCTCTTCATCTACAGTTTCATTCATGTTATTTAGTACATATTAGTTAAATCATAGTTCGAAACGGCTCACAGTTTCAATGGTATCTTTCATAAACTTATAAAATACTTATAAAATATCGATAGCCATCAACAGGTAGCATCAGATATAATTGTCCATTTGTATGCCGTTAAATTATGCTAAAATACTATTGCTTTTTACCCCGCCAGTGAACAATTTCAATTAGAATATTATGCGTATTCAAACAGTGCTTTGATTGGATTTAATTTCTGTATAAATGTGAAGCGATACTTCCATTTCAGTGCCGCCCATCCCTAATAAAATAATAAGCAAAGAAAACAACAAAAGGGAGAAAGAACTGGAAGTTCAGTACATACATGAGATGTATGTATATTTACCAAAAGGGGCAATGCGCTTATGACTTTGGCAGCCATTTAATGAGTACTAATAATTACACTACTCGACAAGATTTTTCCGCTTCGATCCAGTTATGATAAAAATAGAAGCGCCACCTCTAAAATAAAGAGCTACCGTTACAAAAGAACACCCATTTAAAAATTCTTCTAACAAGTTGGTTTGCTTCGAAGCTGAAAAAAAATGTTTGATTTTGTCGAACAGTGTTATTTTTCCATTCCGCGTTGCCTTTCCTTGTTTTCTTCTGTCTATTTCTCCTTTTCTTTCGGGCCCGGCAACCACACACACGCACTCGTAAACATATTGCACTCTCCGCACAGTTCTGGTTTGAAAACGTAAAAGAATGGGCGTAAAAGGTGTAGGTAGTTCAGTACATACATGAGATGTATGTATATTTACCAAAAGGGGCAATGCGCAATGACTTTCGCAGCCATTTAATGAGTACTAATAATTACACTACTCGACAAGATTTTTCCGCTTCGATCCAGTTATGATAAAAATAGAAGCGCCACCTCTAAAATAAAGAGCTACCGTTACGAAACAATACCCATTTAAAAATTCTTCAAACAAGTTGGTTTGCTTCGAAGCTGAAAAAAAATGTTTGATTTTGTCGAGCAGTGTTATTTTTCCATTCCGCGTTGCCTTTCCTTGTTTTCTTCTGTCTATTTCTCCTTTTCTTTCGGGCCCAGCAACCACACACACGAACTCGTAAACATATTGCACTCTCTCTCCCACACAGTGTCTGGGTGCTCCGATTTAGTCTGATAAGCAGAATTTGAAAGTTCTAGAATATAGATATGTTTTTATTTAGATGTTGAAATCTAATTACATAATTATTAGTGGGCTTATATTATTATTATTATTACCCGCCTGTAGTCCCTGCCAGATATATATCCATGGCTTTCTTATTTAGGATTACCGTCTCTCGACGCCTGGGTATTGGCTGTATGTTAGGCAGCCGAGTACCGTTCACTGCGTTAAGGCTCATATCAGAGCTTGTAAAATCATCAGAGTGATAATAACTAGGTAAATACACCCAATTCCGTACATCTGCCGCCACGTCACTGGGGGTCGGGCGGGGATCGTCGGGCGAGACGACCATTTGGGTGGTCCCACTGGACTGTGATGAACTTGTGATGGTTATGGCACTGTCCT